TTACAAAACCCAGAGGAGTTAACACTACGTAAAAACAACATTGTCTTTTTGTTATGTGAAGCTGCCCTGGACCTGCTAGAAATAGTTGTGATTTTGTTGTCAATTATTTCATAATTTTTTGCCTTATTGTATCTTGTGATATTAACTTTGAAGCTGAAGCTGGTCATTTAATTTTAATTATACAATCAGTTCCTACCAGGAGCAGGCCATCATCCTAAATATCATAAATCGGGGTCGACAAACAAAACCATAATTTTCGACAAGCATAACAAATTTTTCTGAAAATTGACAGTACTATTGGTTTTTTTTTTTAAGCCATATCTTGTATGTTCATTTCCCATGTGCGTGGAATAAAGCAAATGTTTATAATTCTTTTACAATTCGTTTTTAGCCGAATTTTATAAATAGTAGTGCCAAAATTAGAAGCAGTTATGCATACACTTTTAACTTGTTTCCATGTAGGATTTTCTCCATGGCTTCTAGTCTCTTTTCAATCAATTCTATTTCCAGATGAGTTTTTGTTATTCTTTTAAAAATATTTCTTTTTATTTTGATACTCCTAATCATTTATATCAGGTATTATATTCTCACGTTCAAAAAGACGATCATATTGTTTATCTGGTAAGGCATTTTTTTATCGTCAGTCAGTTATATGGGTTATATCATGTCGTGATAACACAGGCCTCTGAATAAAATCAAAACTGTCATTTAACAATAAAGAAAAAATGTATTAACCGACATGCGTGATTTTTTCCTTAACATAATTTTTTACTATCACATGTCATGAGAGGGCGCAATTGATCAGTATATTATTGATTTAATTAGTGCTATATTAGATTTAATTACGATTGTGGGCCATGCAAAGGTTCCTAAAAAAATTTTGCATTTATTTATTTGTTGTGATGCATACAGGATGTGTCTAAACTTAAGTTACGATATTCTGAATTGTTTCAAATACAATACCCTGTGTTACATCTCCAATTATTTATAAATTAATTTCCTTAATTTTTTCACTTTGGCATTCTATTCTATTTTTTAAGATTTTGATGGCTTTATCATAAAAAAAGGAAAAAATTATTTCAGGTTTTTCTAATTGGCTTCTGAAAATATGTAGTTACCCATACAGCACAAACATTTCGGAAATATTTTAAAAATATTACATTGGAACATTTGTATATTACGAAACATATATACAGGGTGGCTCACGCTTAACGGGACGGAGCTTTATGGAAAAACGACCAAAGATATAAAAAATTCGTTTGGGAGGAATACGTAGATTACAGACGGCTACAATTTAAAATTTGTTAGATGTATACAGGATGTCCCACATAAGAGAAAATATACAAAGTTATATTATTTTTAATGGAACACCCTGTTTTTTATTTTAGAATTAAAAACTACATAAAAAATAATGTCAGTTAACTAAAGGTTCCCTATTACTATTATTATTAGTTTTCGATTTATTTGAATTTTTAAGGAAAAAAAGTCTCCCAGAAATTAATTGTTTACTCTTGTTTGAATAATTTTTAATGAACTAATTTTTTTTTCTTATGTGGGACATCCTGTATACCTCTAACAAATTTTAAATTGTAGCCGTCTGTAACCTACGTATTCCTCCAAAACGAATTTTTTATATCTTTGGTCGTTTTCCCATAAAGCTCCGTCCCGTTGAGCGTGAGCCACCCTGTATACAAAAACTTTATTAAAATGATTGGAAAAACCGAATTATATTAGTAGGTTAATTGATAAAAGGAACTTAGTGAGACATGAGAAATGAAATCTTGAACCGAAAATGATTTTTTAAAAAGTTTATTTTTACTTAAAATACAATAAATTTAGATGTTTATGGTTTGAATGCTAAATAGGAACTTACTTTTTACTGATTAAACTACTTTTATATAAACAAACTATGCAAAATTGTATCTTCTATACAGGGTGTTTCCGAACTTGGCGTCCAAATTTGTAGGGGTGGTAGTTCGCATAATTTGAGAGCGATTGGCAGACTTAATTTTTCTAAAAAAAATTTAATAAACAAAATAGAGCCATTATAAAAAAATCGAAGAGCAGGTCCTACCCTGAGCGCCTAGCGCAATAGTCCTTATAAGCAGATGCGATTTTGTCAAATCTAGCGTAGCGCGCACGAGTCGAGGCGAAACCTATCGCTGTGCAGGACCGTACCTGTTAATACTTTTTAATTAATTTTTAATTAATTTTATTTTAAATATTTTGGAAAAATGAAATCTGCGAATCGGTCTCAAATTATGCGAACTACCACCCCTACAAATTTGGACGCCAAGTTCGGAAACACCCTGTATATTCTTATGTAGTATGGGTGATATAACTCACGTATAAATTGATTTATTTTCAAGAGCAAGTAGGTACGTAATATAGGGCGGGAATATATTCATATTAATGAGCATTTTATACAATTGGATAATCGAATTATAATTGTTTGAACAATTGAAAAAAATAAGATTAAAAAGATGGACAGGGAAGCGCCCATGGTTAAATTTCAAATTTGTTATGTTCCCAGACTGGAATTTATTTAATCCAAATATATCAATATGCGGAATTACCCTAGGCAATTCTTTATGGATAGTAAAATAGTGATTATTAGAGTTGCAAGCTGTATTTTTTATAATTTGCTTCACAGTTTTTTCTAATTTGTTTTTTATATGTAGTTACTAAATCTAGATAAACTGGCACCTTCGTCAACGACTCCTTATCACATGCCTTTTTCGCTTCTAAATCTACGAATTCATTACCATATATACCAGCATGGCCTTATGCCCATATAAAAGTCATATCTTTATTTGAAGCTTTCAGGGTGTAGTCTGTTTTTTATAAGATTTAAGAGCGAATTTTGGTAATATTTATATTTATTATGGTATTTGTTGCAGAATTTCCATTTCGTTTATGGCTTTTGTAATCTTATTTTTACTGAAGTAAAAATAACTATTTTAAAAGTATGACATTTTTACAATAAGCTCTTCAATTGTAACGTCCACTAAGCATATTAGTTTTTTAGAGTCTTCTGCCAACATTCTCGTGAAATTTTTCAAATTAATACTGTCATCCTTCAGTAGTGTTCCATTTCAACGCCAAAAACAAACGCCTTGTCCACATTTTTCTTTTTTTTTTGATACTGTTGGTAATGGTTTGTATAAAGACAAAAGGGCCAACAGACACAGTAGTATTTTTCGGGACCATCACACTCGACGACTCCATATCCATCGAACAAACTCAACCACATGCTCCAAAACATTTGTGATAATTTCACTCCAGAGGAGTTTCAGGAGAAGAATTACTGCAGTTAGTTATTAAAAATAAAGGTGACATTATTCAGTGATAGAATAAGAGATTAAAGAAATAATCAATTTCGTTTTATCGAGTTTAGTCCCATTATTTTAACTAATTTTTTTATTCGATGTTTTTTATATGCTACTTTCAAAATAAAGTAAATACTTTTACCTCGTATCACCTCAGATAGCAGATTTAATCGGGTACGTTAACTGAAGCTGTATAACAAATATACCTACGTCTACGGTTCACTGCTTTCTTTTCCTTATTCTTCAAACGAAATATAGCAAGGGGGAGGGGAAAATCTCGTCGAAAATTAAACACGTCACACTTCAAACAAAAATTATTTTATTTTTTCACATATTTCACATACATAAAAAATAAAATTATACAATATGTAGCAACAAGTCGAGAAGTAGAAAAACCATTGATGATTTTTTTAAAACAAACAAAAATTGATCAGAAATTAATCGGAAGCGCGAAATTTAACTCTTACGTCAACACGTTTTTCTACCAATCAAAAAAAAAAAATAAATATAATTCATTTTAAATAACATCGATAGTACATCACCAGTTATATCTCTTTCTCTCTTTCAAAATCTTATTTTCGAATTATAGACTTAACACGTAGAGTAGAAATTTGTATATAATAATTAATATTCGTAAATAATTTAATAAAATTAACAACCAGTCTTCTCAGTCATGATTTTTAAAAAGCTGATGATATCGTCAACAATCAACTGAAACAAAACATCGAACAACTTTAAACAAATTAACTGAACAACAAAACAAACTAAAAAAAAATTAAATTAATAATATACAGGGTGGATCGGATTTAATTTCCGTATACAGAGAAAACTCCTAAAAGGCAATAATATATACAATCATAGATAAATTGGGAAAAAGTTTCATTTTTCGATGGGAAATGTAATGATTTTTGTTTTTATCATACATTTTTTGATATTCAAGGTAGTAAGTTTAAAAAAAAAACTACGGTTTATGATTTATAGAGCTTTCAAAGCTTGCTTGTTTATTCTTCAGTCTTTTTTTTGCAAAATGAATCATTAATAATAAAACTAGTAATAAAGAAGGTACAGAGCAGCGTCAAAAGCTCTACAAATAATAAACTGTAGTTTTATTTGGAAAAAACACCTGATCAGTTTAGAGATATTTGAGAAAATTCAAAAAAGTTCAATTACGATTTGAAAGTCTAACATTGTTATTATAAAAGATATCAAGAAAATTATTTTAATTTTATTTGGGTAACAATTATTTTTTTTAAAAGAGGAAGAACCTATTGCAGAAACAATGTCGAAATTATGTTTGATGCCCCACGTTGGGCGCCAAAAATAATGAGAATCCGTCTATTCGATTAGAAATATGAAAAAATAGATGACACTATTTGAAAAATAAAATGCCACTTAATTGAATCTGCTACCCAAACAATACATGACATGTATAAAGAAATCATTTTTCCAACGACCTAAAGTCTTAGATATTTGCTGTTCGATAACAACACTTCGATTGTTTATTAAAGCTTAAAAACCATGAATTGTAAAAAAAATGAAAAGAAATATTGTCTATTTGGATGAAATATGGGACGACAATTAAGATACCGTGAAAAAGAGATTGACAAATGATAAAAAAAATGTTCAAATATGTAAATGAGAAGGATGGGATGGATCGTGGATGCTGTGGATATCTGTCAAACATGGTTCGAAAATTCTGCTCCCAAAATTGCAAAGTCAAAACGTAATTGTTATGGACGACGCTTCAGAATTTTATTGGAATTCCTCTTGGGAGAAATCCAAGAATGTTTATATGAGGAAGATTTGTATTTGGATATTAAAAAGTATCTGTGCTTTAATTCATCAAGAATATTAACCTGATGGGGTTGAAACTTTGAAAGGTACAATTAGTTTAGAGCTTCAGTAAGAGAGGGCTCTAAACCGCATCCTAATTCAGATAGAGAGATAGATAGGATCTATGCAATCAAATAGCAAAATAGTTTCTTTGTGAAACGTTTATATAAGAAATATAACCAATGAAAAGAAGAAATTGTTTATACAATTAAAGTAAAGTAATTTGAAGGTAGTATTTAACATATACCTTCACGTTGTTTCTTCATATGAAGCCACAAAGTGTCATTATCCATAGATATCATTTTTTATATATCTTTAAGGCCCAGTCTATTCACCTCTGAGTAAAATTGAAAGTAAATACCTTCGAATTATGCTATAGATCATAGTTCGCTAATCTGTTAAGTAACTGTACATTCAACTTTAAGCAAAGGTGAATAAATCGACCCTTATAATAATGAAGCTAGGGTAGATTTCACCGAATATCTCCGTAATTAATTTAAAAATCTACGAACCATTATCAAAATATGTCACTTTTCCACATTTAACCGATTACCATACACATTGCAATTTAAAATATCTCCGCGTACGCAAATTAAATACGGTCTGCCCCTGTATACAGTCACGAAAACAAAAATCGGCAGTCGATCATCAACGAAATACAATTAAAAAAAAAAAACGATAATAAAAAACAAAAAAATGATTTCTGTAAAAGAAATGGGGGGGTCTCGAATCAAAAATCAAAACAGAAACGTGTTTTGGAACAGGGTGTCGCCCGCTCCCAAATTTCTCATGTTATTCAAATGGAATCTGCCGAAACGATTTTGAAAATTGCTTCTGGGATTGTTCATTTCTCTAAAAGGCAACACTCCTCTGACTTGGGGAAATCCTGAGAGGAAAAAAGCAAATTATTCGTTTTGGTTGTGAATTTTTAGTTCGTTTACCGTTATCGACTGAAGTTCAAAGGAAATTAAATTATTATACTATCGAAATTAGTATTTAAACCTTCGATTATCAGACACTAGATGCCAAACGTATACAGCAATGTTTTGTTCAATAATATCGATATAATATTGTTATGTGAGCCATTTCATTATTCAGTCATGCTCTAACCCTTTGAGGCTCAACTTGTCCGATTATTATACATAATTAAACCCCTTAAGACCAAACCTATGGGACGACTATGGCGGAGGTGATTTCGATGACTATTCGAGAAAGGACGAGATATATTTCTGGTCTGTTCCAAATATTTCTAGTTTGGTGGAGGAGCTTCTAGACTCCACCAAACTTTAGAAATTTGTATATAAATATTGGTTATCAGTTATTATATGGACAGTGAAGATAAATAGTAATTAGTAGTGAATATAAATAGTGATTAGTTTAAAGACATTCGAAGTATATATAAATTAGAATAGTTGTGTTATAAAATAAATAAGTGTTTAATAATAAATAAACTGTTGTTTTAAAGTAAACAAACATCACATTGGTGTCGCGAAGTGAGATAGTGTAAATAAATAGGGGACAATAATGGCTAAAAAAACTGTGTGACTTAAGAGTGCCTGAGCTACGTCGAGAATTAGAAGAACGTGAACTGGAGACGACAGGGAAGAAATCAGAGCTGGCACAACGACTTAAAAAAGCATTAGAAAATGAAGGTTTGGATCCGGAAACGTTTCTATTTTCGGATGATGCGTCTGCTATAATTTCTTCTGATATGTCTTCTATGAAAACCGATATTTTTTCTTTAGAAACTAAAGTTTCTTTAGACATTTCTTCCTTAGATAGTAAAGTTTCTTCTTTAGAAAAAAAGGTGTCTTCTGATAGGTGATAGATACTAGCATGTCAATAGTTGCATGCAAGTTGTGATCGCCGTCAAGTTTTTTCATTTTGTTGATACCGTATCATCATGTCTCGATGGGGAGATGAAAAGAACATAAAATTTATTTGTTTATATAGAGTACGAATGTTTGTGGAATTCGAATTCATCTCTGTATAAAAATAAAATAGCACGAGAAAATGCCACTTTAAAATTCTGGGACAGGTTAATGTGAAACGTTGTATTAATTTATTCGAAATCTCCGCGATCACGAAGGCTTGTAAGCTACTGGAAAATGTATTTGATAGGAGAAAGATTACTTCAGATTTTCGTCGCCTCTCTAGGTGAAGAGGACAGGTTTCAGTACCTGCCTAAACGTCTCGTCTTAGGCTTCCAAAATTAGATAGAATGAAGTAGAGACATCATAAACACTACTTTGCGATATGTCAAGTGGACGCACTTTGAGTGATGGAAAAGTGTAATCAAAATGGCGACTTAGGGAATCATTTATTTGAAGATTGACAGAATTAAAATGTTTTTATCATTTAAAACACGCAATTTAAAAAAATAGCATTTATTATCACCAAAACTCTATTTCCTATTTATAACCATATATAGGGTATTTTAAAAAAGTAGGTCAATCCGTTAACTATACCATTCCTTAGGTTAATGTAAAAAACCTCGTATTATTTTTTTCCATCATGTTCAATTTACAGGGTGATAAAGTTAATTTTAAAAAATACGTTTTTCATTATATTTTCGTCGTTTTATTAAGTAGATGACTCAAAATTATTGGTACACCGGGGTTTCTTGGCATTACAAATCATAATTTGAGCCTAAATATCACATACCTCAAAGAGGGCGCTAGTTGCAAGGGGTGAACCTATAGGGTAAACATGGTAGCTCCAATCGAAAAAATAATAGAAGTTTTTTAAACTGATCTATGTTATCTTGAGAATGGGATGTTAATACACTGCGACCTAAAAGATATATTGTGCCCCCTTCTGTCGCCACTGCACTAAGGAAATGTCTCAATGCCTATAGCGACCCTTCCAATCCTATTTTCTCAAAGAAGTGGCTTCAAGTTAGGTAAATCTAAGGAATCTATAGTTAACAGATTGACCTACTTTTTTGGGACACCCTGTATTTTTATGTTAATAAAATTTTATTATGGGTATGTATATTTAATGTTCAGTCGGTTTAAACGTAAAATTGTCATATATCATCTAGTAGCATTTTTTTAAATAACAATTTTTAAAAAACAACTAAACGCGATTGTTTTTGTATGTTGATGATTTTGTGTGTCTAATCAACGGCGTAAATCTCTTATCTTTTATTTATCTAGTGTTTATATGATCGAAGATTTAAATACAAAATGGATTTTTTTTCGTAGATCGTTAATGTTTCACTGTGTTTAATACGAATTAATATTTTTAGAGGTTATAAAAACATTGCGATTTCATTCCTATGATTTAAAGTTGCATTGCCAAATTATCCGATATAAAAAATATCGGAACTAGAGAAAATTATAATAAACTAAAAATAGTATAGAATATAGAAGGAGAAAATGGAGGAAAAATTGAAAAATGCACACTACTATATCAATCCCAGAGTTACCGACTGCTGCAATGGTGCCACGTTGCCATATAGATATAAATATCTATATATGGGCAAACTGTATCCTAGACAGGACTAAGTTAAATATCTTCTTGAAAAACGGAGTAGAAATTTTGGGAAAAGAATGCAGATAAAGAAAAACCGATTTTCTATTCACTCGAATTAAATGTGAAACTCAACCTTACCGCCTTATAAATACAGATAGAAATGTCATTACATTGATGTCAAAAAAATTCGAATACCTTTGCCTTGCGACGTTAACTACCAAATGATTAATTTTTGTCCAATTTTGGATATAATGTATATGAATCTATTTGGAATATCCTAAAAGATGGCGTGCTTTCGAGTCCTATTTGAAGAGAAATGGTTAGTTATTGAATCAACTTTCAGAAGAGGCACTCCAGTCGATGAATGTTGAAAAGGGGGTTTAGAAAACATGAAAGAAGGGATAATTTTTCTTCAGTGATGTGTTGAAAGTTGCTAGATTAGAAATCCCAAAACTGAGATAAAAACAAAGGGATGGAGACGGGACTATGACTAAAATAGACAAAATGTTTTAGTAGATTATTTCTACACATTTTCTTCCATTCCTAGTCAACATTTTTTTCGCCATACTTTTTGTAAAAACAAATACCTTTACTACCATTATCTTCACTTTTACTGCAAACTTTTCATAAAAGAAACTGTAGAGCAGTAAATTTCCTTTAAAAATGAATTTTTATTCAATATCGTAACCTCAACTGGTTCGTAGTTACAGCAATTTAAAAATTACGAAGTAAAAAAATTTCTCCCCTGTTCCATGTCTTCTACAACCCCCATAATGTGTATGAAGAAACGTTTATGAATAATTCAGATAGTGTTTTTAATAATTTATTTAATTTCATTACATAACTCGATTAAAAGTACAATGACAAATACGGTTATCATAAAAAAAACAAATCGAAACTTAAAATATAGAATTTTTGGTTCATTCAAACTATTTTTATTATTCAAAAACTTAAAAAATATATTTGCTAAACTAAATTTACGTACAAACACTTAAAAACGATTAATGTCAAACTAAATTTTGTTTTATGTTAATTAATTTGATAAAATTAAGAATTCCTACATTATGAAAACAAAATATGTAAATAATGAAACATATCGAAAATAATTTTTTTCCCATTAAAGCAGTTTTTCATATAAAAAAAATGTTTTAGACAAAGCCTGAAAAATGTATAACATTTGCAACTTTGAGTCGATAAAGAAAATTAATTACATTAAAATTTGTACACAGAAATTACAAAAAAAAAAACAAATCTATTCTAGAAAGAAAAAATAAAAAAAAAATAAAATGTCAGCTTGGGAACACTTGTGCATTCTGATCGTAGCGATTATAAAATTATGGATTGCAAAAAAATTGAAGGGCAGATTATATTAAAGTAAATTGAAAAAAAAAAAAAAACAACATGATTTGGTCTAGTTTTGCGCAGACTTCAAAATAACAAAATTCGGTGTTACATTTTTGGAGTGAATGCAAACAAAGGCAACCCTAGTTATTGTTAAAGAAGAAGCTGTCAGCTTTCGTTTGACACCAGTTAGGTACGTCAAAATAGAAGCAGCTTCCGCAAAATACGCGTCAAAGTAACAACAAACTTCAATGTTACATTTTTAGATTCGGTGCAAACAAAGGCAACCCTAGCTATTACTAAAGAGCAGGCTATCAGATATCATTTGACACTAGTTGCGTCAAAATAGAAGCAGCCTTTGTTAAATACACATACACATTAAAATACCAACAAACTTTAATGTTACATGTTTAGAATTAGTACAAAGCGCAGCCCTAATTATTGTTAAAGCAGAAGCTGTCAGTTTTCGTTCGACACCAGTTGCGCCAAAATAGAAGCAGTTCCCGCTAAATACGCGTCAAAGTAACAACAAACTTCAATGTTACATTTTTAGATTGGGTGTAAACAAAGGCAACCCTAATTATTTTTAAAGAAGAAGCTGTCACCTTTCATTTGTTATCAGTTGCGTCAAAATAGAAGCAGTTTTCCTACAAGTATTAGAAATTAAAAATTTAAAAAAACCGACTTCAAAAACGTGCAGATGCCGTCAGCACATCTTATCCAAATTAATATGTGGCCATTCCTGGGGTACCCCATTACTAACAAAAAAGAGAATCTTATAAATAGGACAAGGTCGTAAAGCATTATCGCTAAACATACATGAAAAATGAAGAGTTTGAGGATTTTCTCATTGGCCCAATTATTAGATTTTGACCAAATATATATGGGACCACCCCTGAAGTACCCTCTTTCTAACAAAAAAAGAATCATTGAAATCGGACACCGTGTTAAAGAATAATCACTGAACATACATAAAAAAAAAAAATCGATACGAATTGATAACCTCCTCCTTTTTTGAAGTCGGTTAAAAATACGCGCCAAAATAACCAAACTTTGATTTTACATTTT